GCAGGTGAAAATAAAGGGTTGACGTTCGGCAGTAGATAATTTTGTTTCAAGGGCAGAAGGGTTTCTTTCCAGAAATGACTGCTTGGTTGCTAAGTTTAAATCACGTCTCAATGAATCCAACGTCAAATACAAATGAATCAGAAAACGGTGCCCATAAGACTGGAGCTAATGGCGAACCTGTTGTGCACATGTTGCCTTTTTGCTTATGCAGCTCATGGGTAAATAATATCATCATTCCAATGTTCAAGAAAATGACAAGAGAAATAAGTGGAACATGGGAATTATTATTCTCTAGGAAGTTGTTGTTTGCCAAATTCGTTCAGAATTTACACTAAAAGAAAAAAAAAATCTTTGTAGATACCCTTTGGATTTCGAAATGTGCGTGCATTTTCAAAGATCACTTCGAGGCAGAGGAAATTTTTCTTCCTAAAGGGTTATATCCTATATTTACTACTGCTGCTACTACTACTACTACTACTAATACTACTACTACTAGTAATAATAATAATAATAATAACAGAAACACATTCAATATAACGGGATTTTGTCGTAAAGATTAGGGAACTGAAACAAAAATTCTATAAATGCCTCGGAGTCAGCGAAGGAGATGGAATAGAGCATAATCAAATGAAACAGAAAGTAAGAAAAGAATACAACAGAAGTGTACGTCTGCTATTGAAATACCGAACTGAATTAAAAATAAACAGAATATTATCCATAAACTAATTGAACATTAACTAAAATTAAGCGAGTGGATCCCAAAACGAGACATCTTCCCACTTGCCATCGCATGAATGATCACAAGGCAGTTGATCGCCTGTATATGCCCAATTTCAAAGGACGCACAGGGATAAACGTTTCCTTCAAACTGTGTGTCATAAATAGCAACATTTAGAACGTGAAGCTTGTACTGCAAGTGATCAAAATTCATTACAAGAGAACATTAGCTATGAGACCAATCAGATATAGTGTGTAGAATTCAGAGGCTACAAATTGAAGGTCAGGTTGTGAAACAACCATTGATTTCCGAAAGGCAAATCCCGTTTCACATGTTCATTTTTTTTCCTAATATTCTTCCTCGACTCCGTCTTTAAGCTGACACTGTTCAAATTCTCAAATTCCGTTAATATAGATTCTTATTGGAGGCATTTCTTATACCTGTTTCTTTTTATAAATCCATAAGGAAGGCCAAAATAATGTCTGATATTTTAACAAGTAAGAATCTGGCTATCTCACCTGAAGAGCAAACGCTTTTGACATAAAACATGCTTGTCATGAAAACAAACAAAATGACGCTCATAATAGTTCGCGCGCGTTGATAACAAAGCTAATAGCGATTCTTTTCATAAGCCTCTTCTTTATTCCCTGTTAATAAGATCTCTTGTCTTGCGGCTGTAAATAGTTTAGGAATACAGGTCTTTGTATGCTTTTATCACTGTTAAAACATCTCAAGGTTTGTCAAGAAATGCATTTCTTTTATTAACAGCAAGAAATCGTGTGTGGATAAAATAACAGAAATAGGATACTTTTTTAAAAATCAGATATTTCGCTGAAAAAGAAAAAGAAATTAATGAATATATATATATATATATATATATATATATATATATATATATATATATATATATATTTTTTTTAAAATATGATTCCTTTTTAAACAAAAAACAAAAAATATTATTATAATAAAAGCTCTACTTCTGTATGGAGCACTGTCTTCTAAAAATAAAAACAAAAATTACTAAGGAACCCGGATTATGCACCCAACGTGTTCTTTTCTGCATATACGCACTTTTATTTTTATATATATATATATATATATATATATATATAAATAAATAAAAAAATAAATAAATATAAAAAAAAGAATAATAGACTCTCCCGTCAAATTCGACGTATGAGGGTCAAGCAGATCGGCTCCCAGGAAACCGACAGCCCGACAAGTGTACATGAGATTTGATTATAGTGGTGAAGGTTTCGTACAGGACCAGCCACACTTTTTGAAGAGCCGAATACAGGGACCTGGTGCACTACGTGCCACAAGGTCCTCAAACGACCCTCCGCAGGTTTTGAATTCAGATTTGTCCTTCTCCAAGAAGAGTTGCCATCCAAGGCTATAGAACCCAGTCTGTCCTGTTATTTACCCATAGCTGGAGGAAGAAGAAGAGGATTCACACCTTTCCCAAGGGTATTAACACGTAAGTGAATGTCATGGATTTGACTGGAATTCGAACTCGGCTCTCCAATTCCTAAATCAAAGCCTCTATCCATTACTCTACCGTAATATAATGAGTAAAAGTGAAGGGAAATGAAAGAGTAGAGGAAAGGAAAGATGAATCCGAGGGATTGTTTTATGGAAAGAAAATATTCGATGGTATAATGGGAAGGAAATATAGAATAATAAAGTGAATGAAAATCTATTCATGGGGTTGGGAAGTGAATCAAGAGAAAGAAGGAACAGAAATGGGAATGCAAGGAAATGAAACAAAATATTTTAAGAAAGTCAACAAAAGGAATAAAGAAAGACAAAACGCAAGAGAAAGAAACAAAGAAAAAGTATCATACTAAAAGAAGTACATGAAACTATTAAATATGAATACAGTAGAATCCCTCATATCAGGAATTCCTCATATCCGTAGTTCCTCATATCCGGAATCCCTCATATCCGTAGTTCCTCATATCCGGAATCCCTCATATCCGTAGTCATGATTTTGATATCTATATTTCCTTTATTTCCGAATCCTCATATCCGTAGTTTTTTTTCAGGAAATTTCTTTGGATAATTCCGAATCCCTCATATCCGTAGGTAGATATCCGAAATCGAAAGAACAATTTGGGAGTTTCCTAAAATGGAAATTTTCCATACATATCCTGGTGAAGGTTCCTCATATCTGAGTTCCCTCATATCCGTTGTTCCTCATATCCAGAATCCCTCCATCGTTCATACTGTCACAATATCCGAAATCATGATTGTCCGGTCATGGATTGAAATGACTATATTGATTTATTTATCGTTTTATGGAAAGAAAGCCAGATCAGCGATGACGATTTTTTTAACGCACAGGTTAAAAAAAATTGTCTTTGGATAAACATTCAGAACAAAAGCAACCTTAAATGCGGAAAAATTGAGAATGACATAAGATGAGAAAAAATCATTATACAACGGCGAAAAAACAATTTGGGAGTTATTTGTTTTGCAAAGTGGCAGAAATTTAATGAATTTTCATTAACATTACTAAGACTTTTTCCTTAAAATCAATTACGTTATATTTCATTGCTATTACTTATTTTGTTGAGTTAAAACATTGAAAATAAATGTTAAACCTGATTTGTTATTTTATAAAATCTTCCAAAGATATCAAACTTTCTCCATCGTTCATAGTCTGGTTGTTCATTCAATGAACAATGGAAATAAAATATGAAACATGATTATTATGAAACATGGACTGAAAAAATATGAATATTGTAATGGAATGTTTATATGTATAGTTTAAAAAGGAAATGAAATGGATATGTATTATATGTATAGTATGCGATGAATATGTTTTGTTATAACGCATATGCAGAGTTAAAAAAATATGTATATTTGGTTTAAAACATTAATATACAAAATAGGAAAATGTAAATGGATATGAAAAAGTTGTAAGAATGATATTAGATGAGAAAAATCATTATTATATGTATAAGATTAAAAACATCCTCGTTACATTATTTGTTTAAAAATATAATATGTTTTATTATGGTATACTTATGTATAATATTAATGAATTTTCATTAATGTATTATATGTATAGTATTAAATATGAATATTATTTCTTTTTATGTTAAAATAAATTACGTTATATTTATATTATGGAATTTATATGTATAGTATGTAAAATTGAATATAATTATATTTAATATGTATTACATGTATAATATTAAAATAAATTATATTTATGGATATTTATTATATATATATACCCATTAAAATATCCAATGGATATTTTATATGTATAATATTCATAATATGTATATTAAGGATATGTATTATATGTATAGTATGTAAAATATGAATATGTTTATTATGGATATGTATTATATGTATAGTATGTAAAATATGAATATGTATATTATGGATATGTATTATATGTATAGTATGTAAAATATGAATATGTTTATTATGGATATGTATTATATATTATAGTAAATGTAAAATATATGAATATGTATTTATTATGGATAAATATGAATATGTGTAGTATGGATATGTAAAAATATGTAAAATAGGAATATGTATATTATGGATATGTATTATATGTATAGTATGTAAAATATGAATATGTTTATTATGGATATGTATTATATGTATAATATGTAAAATAGGAATATGTATATTATGGATATGTATTATATGTATAGTATGTAAAATATGAATATGTTTATTATGGATATGTATTATATGTATAATATGTAAAATAGGAATATGTTTATTATGGATATGTATTATATGTATAGTATGTAAAATATGAATATGTGTAGTATGGATATGTATTATATGTATTATATGTATAATATTATATATATGAATATATATAAATATAAATATGAAGGTATAATGAACGCGAAAGAAAGAAAGAAAGAAAGAACAAAAAGAAACAAAATGGAAGTATACATATACCGAGACTAGAAACTTAAATAAAGATGAACATAGTAAAAGATATAAAGAAAACATTTTAAAATGGGAAAAAGATAAAATAAAACAAAAAGTGTTGAAGCTTGGATAAGCATGGAATAATAATAATACAACACAAAATGTACGTAAAGGTACACAATATTTACAGTTAGTTTTGGTATATTCTTGGGAAGACTGTTCCTGTAGAATGGGTTGACATTAGTCGCAGTCGGGCAGAGTCTCTGGATTGCATCTCTTCTTCCTCCCACCCGTCTTCCCGGTACCAACCCATATTTATATGGTCGGTACTCCACTATGTAAATTAGGTGGATCGTACCGCAACAAAAAGTCAAAAAAAGGAACAAAAAACGAAGGAAAGAAACGAAATGAAAGACAAATTGGGGGGTGCAATGTAATAGAAAGAAGGTGAAAGGATGATAGTAAAAACTAGCTGTGAAAATTGAAGAAAAATGAAAAAATATTTTAAAATAGGAAAATAAAACGACAAAAAAAAGAAAGATAAATTTGAACGAAATTGTAAAAAGAAGAGGGAAAAGAAGGAGAAATCGAAGTGAGAGGGGACAATAATAAAAGAAGAAAGATACACAAATGAAGAAAAAATTGAAAAAAAAACAAACAAATAAAAGAAAATTGACTGATGAAAATCAGAAACAGAAAAAAAACAAGGAAAAGAATAATCCAGAATTGAAAAGATTTTTTTTTTAAATAACAAAAAGCAATGACAAAAAGAAAACAAAATATAGCAAAATAAAAAAAATAAAATAAAAATATAACTATCCCAAAAAACCAAAGTGAAAAGACACATAACTATACCGAAAAACGAAAGTGAAAATATCCCAGAAAAAAGTAAAGAGAGATGTGAAATCGAAGAAATAAAGGGGGATAGAAATAAATAAGATGGATTAAAAAAAACAAAAAAAACAACGAACAATACATAAGAACAAAGAAAGTTATTTAAATAAATAAAAAAAAATATGTTTGGATTAACCCTGAAGAATCCGATGGAAAACAGGGTCACATCCTTACATCTCCGGGTGTTGCTATTGCGGTTTCCATCGCGAATAGGCTCTTAAATGTTTGAGTTACAAGCCCTGCACTAAACAAGTTCGGCATTTACAATTGCCCTTCTGCTAAACTCGCCCCAACACAAAGATCGAGAGGCTAGTTTGCCTTGCTGTTAAACTCTAACCAAATGGTGAGAACGATTCATAGATTTCCAAGGTTATTTTTGCGGACACGAACACAGCGGTTTTGAGCGGAATTTGAACAAGACACGTCAATTCCAATTTACCAAATGCAAACTGTTGTAATATCGATATGACTCATGACACGATACAAAAAAGGAAAGACGTGAATGTATATACCGACATATGAAAAGAAAAGAAAAAAAAAAGAAAGAAAGAAAAGGAAAGAAAGAAATAAATATAAAGTATGTATACGTAGATAGGTGAATAATGAAGGAAAGTGAGAAAGAAAGACAAAAGAAATAAATTGAATGGATGCATATACCCAGATGTGAAAATAAAGGATAGAGAAAAATAAAAATAAAAGAAAGTTTTTGTATAAAGAGATATGAAAATGAAAGAAAGAAAACGAAACTGAAAATATGCATATACAGAGACGTGAAAATGAAATAAATAAATTGAAAGTATGCTTATTCGCAGATGTGGGAAAGAAAAAAAAGTATGCGTATAGCAAGATGTGAAAAAGAACGAAAAAAAAGAATGAAAAAAAAACCCAAAGAAACTGAAAGTATGCATATACCGATATATGAAAGAAAGACAACCAAAGAAAAGAAAAGTAATTGAAAATGTGAGTATACCAAGATGTGAAAAAGAAAGAAAACAAAATTAAAGAAATTCAAAGTATGCATATTCCGAGATGTGACGATGAAAGAAAGAAAGAAAATTGAAGGTATGCTTAAATTGACATGAGGAAAAAAACAGAAAGAGAGAAATAAAAAAGAAATAAAATTAAATTATCCATATAACGAGATGTGAAAATGTAAGAATGAATGAAAGAAAAAAAGAAAGTAATTCAATATATGCGTATGCCAAAATGTGAAAAAGAAAGAAAGCAAGAAAGAAAGAGATTGAAAGGAGGCATATACCGAGATGTGTACATGAAAGAAAGGAGGAAAATTGAAACTATGTATATACTGAGATGAAAAAATAAAATAGAGAGAAAGAAAAATGTCATTGAAAGTATGCTTATACTGAGATGTTAAAATGAAAGAAAGAAAAAAAAAACATTTAAAAAATGAAAAATGAATGAAAGAAATAAAAAGAAAAAAAAAGGAAGTGAATGTATGCACATACCGAAACGTGAAAAAAGAAAGAACGAAAGAAAGCAAAAAAAAAAAAAAAAAAATTGAAAGTATCCATAAACCGATATGTGAAAATCAAATAGTTATAGAGGTTGGAGAAAAGAATTGAACCACTTGTTAAATTTAAAGAAAATTTTTTTTAATATGGAGTTTGTCCTCATTTAGCCTCACATAAAGCTTTAATAAGTCTAGGAATGGAATCATACAGCTTTCTGTCTTCATCCAGAGGAATTTTCAGCCATTCTTCCATTAACACCTGCTCTAGCTCTTTCAGACACGACGATGGATGATAGCAGCTTCTAAATTGTCGCTTCAAAATGCACCACAAACGTTGAAAAATATTGATATCTGAAGTTTGGCGATGCTACTCCATATGTTCTAGCTCACTTTCATGCTTTTCATACGAATTTTGAACCACTGGAACGGTATGTACTGGAGCATTATCTTCTTAGAAGATGCAGTCACCATCAGGGAATAAATTCTGGGCCATTGGATGGACATTATCTCCCAAAATGTTCAGGTAATCTTTGCTATTGATGCTATCATGCAGGGTAAATATTGGACTGAGGCATTTCCATGATATGGCGCCCCAAACTATCACTGTTCCACCTCCATGCTTCACTGATGGAAGAAGTCAGTCAAGTTGTAAGCTTCTTTGTGCTGCCGCCACACATAAACTTGGCCTGAAGTTGGGAAAAGAGAAAAACTGGACTCGTCTGAGAATATAACTTGCTTCCATTGGTCTGCAGATCAGACCTAGTGATCTCTGCACCACTTCAACCTCTTCTGAATGTTGCGAGTGGAGAGAAGAAGTCTCCTTACGGCGGCTCCTCCATGGTATCCAGTCTTATGGAGCTCACGACGAACAGTTTTAGAAGAAACTGGACTATTCAGATGATTATTCAACTCAGCAGTCATGTTGGCCCCAGTAGTCAGATGATTCTTTGCCACATTGCGTTTCAATGCAGGTCGGTCCCTGTCAGTAACTTTGCAAGTCCGGCCCGAATTGCTACGGTTGATAGAGGTTTTGCACTGTTTCTAGAATTGCGCCATAGTTCTTAATATGGTAGCTCTTGAAAAATCAAACAGTTCAGCAACCTGAGTGATCGAGGCTTCTGCCATGCGAGCTCCAATGGTTTGCCCTTTTTCGAACTCGGAGAGGTCACACATTTAGTTCAAATTTTACTAAATTCTAAAAATAAATAGGACAAAGACTGTAAATTAGATAAATAAACGTATTTACAATAAATAAAAGCCTGTAATTACGAAGATTAATTAAAGTTCTTAATATAATAGGTCTTTGAAACATAGGAGTGGAATTTGCACATGTTCCAATTATTAGGTTGGTGCAAAAATAATGACGTAATAATGTCGGTGTTTGACGTATTTTTAACGTCAAAAAACGACATTCTTACGTCATTATTTTTTGCACCAACCTAATATTTTGTCCAGCCCCTGTAGATATATAAATAAAGAATCAATAAAGATATAAATAAAAAACGAACGGAAAAACAGATTGTGCAGCATTAGAAACAAAATGAAAGCATGCATAATCTGAGATTTTAGAAATAAAAAAAAACCAAGAAAAAAGCATATAAAATTCAAAATTAAATATTTCAAAAGGGAAGAAATTGGTTTAAAGTCCAGAAAAGGAACAAAACGTATTATGAAGGAACTAAACATTGAAAGAGGGAGAAAAACAAAGTGTCATCAAGGCAAATTAACTTAAAACATGATAGCTTAGTCGTAGAGGCGGACACTTAAAATACGACCGCATTTTCATGGAAAATGTTTGAAGAACGATGGTCTTTTTATAGAGTTAAATATGATTACACCAGTGTAAACTCCATCAGGTGATCATGCCAAGAACACTTATTCTAGCATGAGATAGGAAATTTACATTGGAAGCCAAAATATGCGAAATAAATCAACGGGGATTAGAGAAGAAATTGCGGTTATAAAATGCAATATTTTTACAAATTTGATCGTCGAAAGTTGAAAAAAAAAAAATTACTTAATCAAATATGGTCTAATTCTATCAAGTAGATTGTAACAAAATGATTGAATTAATTATGTCGACCGGAAGGAAGATAAGGAAAGAAGTGAATTTGCAGAAAATGATGGAGTCATGAACATTCTAAGAAAAACAAGGTATCCAGGTGGGTCGTAGAAAGACACAGAATCAATGGCATTTGTATAAAGATATGAAATGAAGTGGGTAAAAAAAAACAAGACATTAGAGAGATTCAAGGAAACAAAAAGAATTTTGAAAGATAGTAAATATAGCGGAATCGTGGATATACAAAGATACATGGAATCAATGGAATTGGTAGAAAGACTCCAAGTGAAAGTGATGGGATGAAAGCTAAGGAATCAAGGAGATACAAAGAAAATGCTGAAGTCAAGACGATTCTAAGAAAAACGACAGACCTCGGTTAGTCTTGGAAAGAAAAGGAATCGAATGAATACCAAAACGTACAAAGAATCCAAGTAATTTGTAGAACGACACACAATCAACTGGATTCTAAGAACCTCTTTTAGTGGAAGAGTTTCGAAATAAGATTGCGGAAATTTGTGGAAAGAAACGACATCTGGAGTATTTAATGATAAATGGTATCAAGGGAATTCGTAGTAAAGCGCAAAGTCAACGATGATCAGATATAAAAGATCGAATCAGGGAGACACAAAGAAATAGATGATAGGAAAACGGAGAATCATGAAAGAATTCATCTCTGTCTCCTGTCAGATAATTTACTTCCTCAGAATATAATCTTGCACATTTATAAATCTGTGCATTGAATACTGTTGTTATATCTGGTTTCGTGCACATCTAGTGTGTCTTTAAGAAATTCAAAGTAGAGCTTGTAAAGATATCGATGCTAATCAGACATCTCCACTCCAGTCACTTTCTAACTGAGGTATCATGCCTTCCCGTTGTCTTTTCGACGAATATTTTCACAGTTATTAAGTTCATGTAGTAGATGTACTAGAAGAGAAATCCAGGTGCTCCAACCTTATGAATTTAAGCGAGCTACTACATTGATAACTAGGTCTCACCGTATTCCTGTTGAACATGCTACATGCAACCGCCCCTTCTACTCTACCAGCTTATTTTCTCACACTTCTCATCTGTGCAATACCTTTCCAATTTCTTGCTTCTCGGAAAACTAAAATCTTCAAAAATTCAAAAGCAACGTCAATCGCCATCTTCTGCTTTCTTGAACCCTGTTCTTTTATTGTCCTCGATCCTCCCCACCTAAGTATTTTCATTTTCTTACGTTGAACTAGCTAGATGCTACCGCCACTTCTATTCTAAAAGTTTCTTTTGTCCACGTCTCTCCTATGAAAAACCTTTCCGATTTCTTGCTTCCCTGCCAACTACAATCTTCAAAAATCCAAATGCAACGTGAAACGCCATCTTCTGTTTTCTTGAACCCTGTTCTTTCATTGTCCTCAATCATCCCCACTAAAGTATTTTCATTTTCTTACGTTGAACTAGCTAGATGCTACCGCCACTTCTATTCTAAAAGTTTCTTTTGTCCACGTCTCTCCTATGAAAAACCTTTCCGATTTCTTGCTTCCCTGCCAACTACAATCTTCAAAAATCCAAATGCAACGTGAAACGCCATCTTCTGTTTTCTTGAACCCTGTTCTTTCATTGTCCTCAATCATCCCCACTAAAGTATTTTCATTTTCTTACGTTGAACTAGCTAGATGCAACGTTCACTTCTATTCTAAGCGTTTCTTTTCTCCACGTCTCTCTTGTGAAAAACACTTCTGATTACTTGCTTCCCTGTCAACTACAAAAATTTAAAATGCAACATCAATTAGAATCTGCTGTGTTTCTGAACCCTGTTCCTTTATAGTCCTTTCTTCGCGCCTACTGTCTAAAGTCAACCCATTACATTTCACTCTCTGTAATGCACCCTCCTGCGTACTAGTAGTATTATCGTGTTGTTTGAGTTGAAAGGATTAAAACATATAAGAATTGCGTTGATCGCTATGTCCATACTATATATATATATATATATATATATATATATATATATAAAAACGTGGGGAATTTCTTTTCATTTTAGCTTTTGGAAGTAAAGTCTGATGATCCAGAACCCTGTTAAAGGGGTTATGGTGAAATAGCTTATTACATGGAATCTTAACGTGCTCTGTCTTTTATTCAAACATATATGCTCTGAATCTTACATTGAGCTCTCTGGATATCATCCTCCTCAGGTCTACCATACGGACTACCTAAGTTTGCATAAACTCTCTCTCTCTCTGTATATATATATATATATATATATATATATATATATATATATATGTGTGTGTGTGTGTGTGTGTGTGTGTGTGCAATTAATTAAGTTGATTTGTTTTCTACAACTTATCCACTCTTTGTGTATAATTTAAGGATCATAGACTAATTAGGCTTGTCCCTGCGTTATTTAGTTCCCACGACCATTACGCCCTGCCAATACTTCATAAATAATAGATTATTACATTTTGATCGGTTGGAAAGAAAAAAAAAACATACCGTTCTCTTTCACTCCCTGAAACCCCCTGCTTTCGAGTGGAATTCTTGCATTGCTTTAAGTGTAACGACTAAAAACGGATTGTAAAATAGACTACCCGGTTTATATGGGAAGGTCTTTTCTCCTTCTGATACACTCATTTTAACAGATGTAGCATCCCAAATCTATCACTAATATATCGATATCACCATGACTCTATTCTTTACTTCGACCAGTTCAAACATTTACATCTACAAGACAGCATGTTCTTTGCAAGCATTCGAAAGACACTCGTTTCTTTCGTAGTAAAAGTTTAAGAAAGCATTTTCCGTTTTCTCAAGAACAACTGATTCGTGAAATAGACAAAAAAACTACGAACTTTAACTTTTTAATTTAAGTTTCAATCATTATCTATCCGCCTTATCCTCATAATCTTGACATTCTCTCTTCTTTCATTTATCTCGCACATCATAGCAATTTTAACAGTAACCCTCTACTTTGAGCGTCTCAGGAGACTTGTATGGGTGAACATTAGTATTAGAAATTTTTCCCTTCCTGCCTACTTTTTATTTAGCTCTTTACAATACTTGTTTCCTTTATGACGGTTTTAATCCTTCACCTTGTAGCTACTTGTCAATTTGATTTCTAATCTTTTCTTTCGGGTGTTGTGCTTCGTAAGCGTTAAATTCTCCACCTCTTCTTTCCTCGCTGTTCCTACCCACTAGTTGTCTTTTTTCGGATTGTTAGCAACAGTTTTCTTAATTTGTGCGAGGAGCCATTCTTATTCTAAAGACGCCCCCTGTTGCTGCATGTTCTCTCCATCTTATTTCCAGCGTTCGCCTGGTCTTAATTTCCGACGAAATTGTTCAGCATTCATTATCATGTAGGAGATTAATATTGTTTTTTTTAATATTTGCTAAATTATCTCCCTAACTATCCGTTTATACCAGATGCTCTTACCAAAAATTTTATAAAAATCTAACGTTGACCATTTTGCTCAGGTTTTCTAGTCAAGGACGCTCATCCCAGCTTTTAAAAAAATCTCAACGATAAAACAAAAGAAAATGTTAAAAGACGAGCAAAATATTATAATATTTTGTGAACTTGTGTGTATAATCAAGGTAGAGGTTCAATCCCTTTGAAGTAACAATCAAATCACAGCATCCCTTCGGTATTTCAAAGCTCTAATGACTAAAAATGATGTCCTCTCGATTGTAAATTAAACCTGGAATGTGTTTAATTTGGGTGAGCCAGAATTACGAGAAAGGCGAGACAAAGAAGAAATGAAGAACAGAATTTCAGGAAAGTGGATGGTAATTAAATTCTGATAAGATGGAAACGTGATTGTCTTCCGGAATAGCGGGGAGGGAGATTTTAAAATGCGGAAGTTAAAAAAATATCAGTTTGAGAAAAAAGAAAGAAAAGCAGGAAGAAATAAAAAAACGAATTTTGAGAAAGAAAGAAAACAATCAGTTTGAAAGGGCATAAAAAGAATTAAAAGAAAGAAAGAAAGAAAGAAAGAAATTAAAATATTCTGAACGAGGTGAGAGAATAAAATGAAGATAATAGTGAACGCATTTTGAGAAAGAAAGAAAGAAAGAAAGAAAGAAAGAAAGAAAGAAAGAAAGAAAGAAAGAAATTAATCAGCCTGAACGGGGTGAGAGAATAAAATGGCGGTAATAGTGAACAAATTTTGAGAAAGAAAGAAAGAAAGAAAGAAAGAAAGAAAGAAAGAAAGAAGGAAATAAATTAAACTGCCTAAACGGGGTGAGAGAATAAAATGGCGGTAATAGTGAAAGAATTTTCAGAAAGAAAGAAAGAAAGAAAGAAATTAAAATATCCTGAACGGATGAAGATAACAGTGAACACATTTTAAGAAAGCAAGAAAGAAAGAAAGAAAGAAAGAACGAAAGAATGAAAGAAAGAAAAGGGAACAGTTTGAAGGAGATGAAAGAATGAAAGAAAGATTACAGTGAACGTATTTTGAGAAAGAAAGAATAGAAACAATTAGTTTGAAGGGAGTAAAATTAAGGAAAGGAATATAGTAGTGAAAAATAAGATAGTAGTGAACGATGGTTAACAGACAGGGAAACAAAAAACTGACGGTATAAATAATACTGAGGATAATGTTGCAGTATACGGAAGACTTGACCACCAACTGCTGATAGTAGTTATTACAGGTGTGAAAATTTAATAATAATAACAATAATAATAATATTAATAATAATATATATATATATATATATATATATATATATATATATATATATATATATATATATATACACATATATATATATACACACACACACACACATATATATATATATATATATATATATATATATATATCTTATAAGTGATTATAATAAAATCATTTTGGAAATCGCTACACAAAATCTTTCATGTTTCAGTACTTCAGGAGATGGTAAGTGACTGATGATTAAACGATTTTTAAGGAAATGTAAAACAAATTGTTACCTCTGTTCCGAAAAATTAAAAGTGGGGACATTAATGTCAGAATTAAAAATACATTTGTGGGTATGTCTTGATTAACTAATTGAATGTTTGATCTACGCTAAATAGAAAAGTAAGCACAGAGGGTGGAGATGGGGGAGTTATTTTTTCATATCACGATAAACCGTGACATGTTATTATTGACGATTGCAGAAAATAGCATTGCAGCTCATACCAAGCAGCAATTTCGTTAGTGCAGCTTCTTTCAGACAAACGCTTGTGGCTTAAAAAAGCTATTTGGCCAGAACGAAACGAAATAAAACCATGACATTTTTTTTAACTCTAGGCAAAGGGCGTGGCATTGGTGAGAGCCGGTGAACAGTCTAATGGGCTTGGCTCCCTTTTTTGCGCCGCAGCTAGGTGGTCTCTTTCCCCATCTCTGGGTTTCTCAGACTTTCTTCCCACTTTCATTAGGTTCCTCTGTCTTCGGCTGCTAGTAACCACTGTCTTATAGGGAACAGAGTTCTTTGCCTTATTATCTGTCTAAAAAACGATAACTAAAATCCATTAAACATGACAGAAAAAAATAAAAGGTTCGATTCGACATTTCAACAACGTGAAGAAAACCGGAGCGTACAACGGCCTAAACCTTGTAATAAATATGGCGACAAAAATGAGGACAATAGTCCGAATTATGTAAATAGTGTACATAATACCTCATCTCAGATACTGGAAAATGTCATGATGCCATTTCTGACCCGGAAAGAAATGAGTATACACCAGAATCCAAAGAAGATAAAACAACAATAATAATAATAATAAGTACTCATCTGTTTATCTTACGAGATGATGGTAGCGCCCTGTTTGGTAAAAAGACAGGCCTTTGTTGGCGAGTCTGGGGTGACATATACATACAAAGACCGTTTGCTGTTTAGATTGCATGAAACCCTCTCAGCGTCACTAACAATATCCAAATGAATATATGAATTTACAGGTTGGTCCGGCTTAGCTGCAGGGGTTGCCGGAGAGTTTTCCGTGTTGAAAGACAACCGCCTTCGGTTTCCCACTCCCGGTTTGCTGTCAATATTTTCTTCCCTAGCCTTTGATATAACCGCAAGACAGCGAAGATTGAAAACTCGGATTTTTGCCTTCCTGTGATGTCGAGCTTCATCTATCTGATGCAGCTTGTTATGAGGAAACTGGAAAAAAAACATAGTTTGAAAATCAACAAGACCCGGTTACAGAGATAGGAAATCTAACACATTTATGGGACTTTACAATACACAAAACCAGAAAAATCAAAGCTAAACGCCCACTCATTTCGATCAGAAACCGCAAAAGATAAAATGTGCCTTATTGATATGGTAATCCCTGCAGATTTTAATGTATTTTTGAAGGTCTTCAAAAAAGTATCAAAATACAAGGACCTTGGAATCGAAATCTCCAAAATGCGGCGCATGAAAACATCAAAAATTCGAGTTGTAGTTGTAGCCCTCGGATTGATAGAAAAATGTTCCGATACACATATTGAAGGGACTTATGTTAACCCACGCCTTAGAAATAATACAAAAAAAATGTCGTCACATTTACAGCAAACACCTTTCGAATGGCTTTTATCTATATAAAATATGTGTGTTTTTTTTTGTTTTTTTTTTTTGTTTATGCATTTTGTCGCAAAAAAAGGTTGAATACAAAATGTCATCATGCCATCTCTGACATTAGGTCTCTGGTTTGGATCCAGAAAGAAATAAGTATACACCAGGCATCAAAGGAAATAATAATAATGAAAATAATAATAATAATAATATCATCATATAGAAAAAGGCACGATTGAAGAAAAAAAAAGAAGAAAAAGGACGTAATGTTTCGACATTATGCATGTCTTCTTCAACATTCTTTGAACAAACATCGTTTGTCCAAATATTAAACATTGTTACGCAGCCTGTATTTCTTGTTTTTTCCTTAATTTTAAGTGGCTTTCTTTTGAAAGTGTCGTCAAATAATAATAATAATAATAATAATAATAATATATATATATATATATATATATATATATATATATATATATATATATATATATATAAAGAGCAGTGTACGTGTGTCCGTTTTTCCGTTTTTTCGATTTCGGCGAATCATAATCAACCAAAAGTAACAGGTAGTAACTACTGCAGTTACACGCGATTCGAACTTAAATAAATAACTCATTTAAAGTTAAATTTAAATATCGTACAGAGTGAAAAATTTAAATAAAAACGATGCTCTTTCAAAGGTTTAACTTTAATTTGGCTTTTCGTCTCAATTGCAATTGATATCGTCTAATTATACCGTAATTAAAACGTACGTTGCTGATATGATATTTTATTGCACGCGTACTGTGACGTAATCGAAATATTACACAGTTCATGTTCCCTAATGTCTTTTAAGAGTGACTTTAGGCGAAGGGATCATAAAGAATAGTGATTCTAAAAGAAAATAAAAATTGCGCGCTAAATAAATGTAAACAAACTAGGGAAATCGGTTGCGTATACGAAGAAAGATTACGTCGAAATTAGGTGTCGAATAAAGATAAATAATTATATTATTTCTAAATTCATAGGATATTGAACATAAAAGACTGAAGGTCCAAAGCCCCCAGAAGGGTTTGTGTAAAATCCGCACGAAGGACGGCTTCCAGGCTAGTAATAATAATATTCAGATGCTCGACCTTAGGATTAAATTAATTTTAAAAAAAGACATGATAATGCAGCAGTTTGAGTGATTAATTAATTGATTGGTTTCTTTAACGGTAATATCAAAAAATTATGCGTCATTTAATGCCGAAATTATTTTTTTGGTGGGTGGGGAATTTGAATTAATAAAAATATAATATATTTTAGGGTGCTTTTCCAATTGAATACATGGTAGATGATACTCATTTTTTGTGTATATACATGTTTGTGTGGCCATAATTACTACAGACAGTCATAAATGTGCTTTATGTTGTAGTTTTGTTGAAGTTAAATATTGGAATGCAGTTTAATTTCTTCAAGACATTCTAGTATATTGTATGGATTAATGTCATAAACTGTTTCATATTGGCTGTTTGGTTGGTTGATGTTGTTTAGCGGCATATCAATATCTATGGATTATGTAATACCATGATCTAAACATTTGGAGCACAATCTTATGACTTCCACTACAGATAAAATACACTGTTGGTCATTTTGCTATAAAATGTATTGTTGGTCATTTTGCTATAAAATGTATTGTTGGTCATTTTGCTATAAAAATGTATTGTTGGTCATTTTGCTATAAAAATGTATTGTTCATTTTACTATTAAAATGTATTGTCGGTCATTTTGCTATAAAATGTATTGTTGCTCATTTTGCTATGAAATGTATTGTTGGTTATTTTACTATAAAAATGTACTGTTGGTCATTTTGCTATAAAAATGTATTGTTGGTCATTTTGCTATAAAATGTATTGTTGGTGATTTTGCTATAAAATATATTGTTGGTCGTTTTACTATTAAAATATATTGTCGGTCATTTTGCTATAAAATGTATTGTTGGTCATTTTGCTATAAAATGTATTGTTGGTTATTTTACTATAAAATATATTGTTGGTCATTTTGCTATAAAATGTATTGTTGGTTATTTTGCTATAAAATGTATTGTTGCTCATTTTGCTATAAAATGCACTGTTGGTTATTTTGCTATAAAATGTATTGTAGGTTATTCGGCTTTAAAATTTTACTGTAAATACGTATCGTTAGTTAGTTTTTAATTTTAAAATATATTGCTGGTATTTTATTATACAAATGTATTTTTATATTTTCATAATGTTTGGGTGTTTACTATTAGCCTATAGCTGGGATCCTAACAAATGCTTCCACTCCAGGTCAGCAATTAAGCTTGTTCAATCCTACACAAAACCTCTAATCTCAATGTCAGAGGCCTTAATACCGGATGTAGTTTATCTTCATACCAGGATTAAATAGTGTAGCAGAATAAATCCATTAGAAGATGTGCCAAAATTATAACTTACTTCATACATAAAATATGCTACAAGCAAAAACCCTTGCTAGTTCAAGAAGATTGATTTCTATTCTTTGAAATCGCCATATACTGATCGCAGTATAATACATGCTAAAGTCTTGATGAGTCTTGTCTTCACTTGCTCACCTATGAAAGACAACGGTAACCACTAAATTTAAAATTCAATGAGTGTCTATAGTAATACAGAACATCGAGGAAGTACCTAAGTATGATAGAAACTTCATCTTAATTGTTCTCGAGTGTAAGCTATGACGAAAATGTACGAGGATAATTGTCATATTGGGGCGGAAGCTGCCCAGTTCTCATTTTCCAGTTTTGTTTGTTTTTCTTTTTTAATCATTTCACCCCCCAAAAAAGCGGGAATTCTGCTAGTACTAGTGGGTTACAGGGAATGAATGTGAGAGAAAATATTGAGTATATGGAGGATTGAAGAAAGGACAAAAGGGGAACAGGTTTCAAGAAGATGTCGATTGACCTTGAATTTATATTTGTGAACATTGTAGTTATCAGGAAAGCAAGTAAACGGAAGGGAGTTCTCCATGTTATAACAGCGCAAAAGGAAACTGTTGGAGTAGATGTAGGGGTTGTATTTATCCATTTCAACCATAAAAGAATGGGACCT